CTGAACTGGTATCTGTGTTCCTGACATCTGGGCTTTTTCTGAAAGACCATAATGTTGGTCTTTTTGAGGTTTACTGCCCGGGCCCAGTTCTGGCAGCAGTTGTCCAGCAGGTGCAGGTGCTGCTGTAGTCCCTGTGGGGTCTCTCTCTCTCTCTCTCTCTCTATAGAACAGAATATTCAAACGTAATGTTCCCATAATGTTTGCAAAATGATAAATTTACAAAACTGGATGTTTTGAACGTTCAAAGAACATTCAGAAATTGTTTTAATAACCTAATGGAAATGTTAGCAAAATGTTCTTGGAACATAAATTTGTTAGCTGGGAAGCAGGTTGTATATTCAAAACAGCACCAGAAGAGGGAGACAGAAAATTTGCGTGAAAACTTTGCAAGCTCAGCATTTCTATTAAAATTCAAACATTCCTTCAAATTCCTCCATCTTGTAAAAGTACCGCCAATGTTTACCCTTGTTTTACCCCATTTTCTGTCTCTGTGTATTCTGGCAAGTCATTCTAATTTTTGCATGCACTTCTGTAAAGCAAAACATATGTTTTGTTCCCAAGATTTTTTTACCTAAAAATCTTACAAATTTCACCTTTAAGTCACACTTTCCAAAACGAATCGACAACAGATTATGAAATCTTTATCTAGATTTCTAGATGTATGAAATAGTTTCCACTCTAAAAAATGCCAAGCAAAATATTTTTTTTATTTTTTTTAGTTTGACCCATAAGAAAACTTCATCAAATAAAATATTAAAATGTACATTGTAGTAAATATTTTATTTTGGACAGAATTGTCCATTTATATGGCTTGAGATCCTCATCATGAATAATCTGATCATTGTTGAATCACAATCATTACGTAGAACAACATTTACTCCCATTTAAGGAGTTCTGGTTTCAATTTCATTATGCTTTTAAACTAAAAGCAGCATAAAGTATCATACAAACAGAAATATTAAAATATTTTGCAGTGTACCTGCCAAGAATAATGCATATAATGCATAAACATGAGCATTTTTGAAAACAAAAATATAAAAATGTTCTTTTGAGCAAGAAATATAATTCCAAAAAAAGAAAATAATGAAGATAAATGCTACGTTAAGGCATTATAGTTCAACATTTTCAGAAATCTTGAACTCTAAGGTTTTTGAAGTCTTCTTTATATTCAGTCTTTCAGTCAGTCGCAGTTTTTGTTCTTGATCCTCACATGATGTTCATTCTTCAGAGCATAACGCTGCTACATCCTCTGTGTGATCAGGAAAAAGACGCAGGATGTCACGGGAGTATTTGGAGTAGCCGTCATGGGAAAGTAAAACTCTTTTGAGGGTGATGAAAGACACGGCCCTCTCCAGAAGATCTGAGGTGTGGATGCCGTTCTGAAGATACTCTCCAAGAGCACACTTGAGCTTCTCCAAACTGTTGCCACACTTTCTCTCCAAACACGTAAGAACACATCTGAAAACAACACCACAATCACGTCAGTTGATGTGCATTTAAAATATTAAAATCAGATAAAATACTGATGCTTTTGTTTGAAGTTCTTTGTTCGTCTATCTGTTTCTGAAGTTCTTCTTACCTTGCATGTTGCACATGTTGGGTCTTGTTGCTGCTCTGGAAAGACATGTCCATGTAGGTGGCCATGACTGATACTGATTCCTGTTGGTCTGAGTGTTGAAGTTCAAGCTCAGTTTTGACTGAAGGGTTTTCAGTGTGAAATGTTCCTCACAGGAGTTGGTGTCTCATGGATCTTTCATCTTCAGCTTCCGTTTATACTCACATCTCTCTCCTCTCAGCCAATCAGAGGCCTCCGAATTTTGAACAATGGTGTGTTGATGAATGAATTGGTGGGATGTTCTCGTCACTGCCATCTGCTACTAAGGTCACTTATATTCATCTTTATGAATGTGGGGATGCAGGACATTTCAGGTTCCCACAAGATGCTCAAAACGTGAATACGAATGTCTGAATGAGTGTGAATCCATGTGTCTCTGTAACTCCAGCAGCTCTAGGAGTGTGTGATTGAGAGTCATTTTTAAATATGTATTGGAAAGCAGTGTCTTTGACTGAGCGTGTGGCGGCCCACATTCCTCGTGTGATTTTATTTTTAAGTTACAGTTTTTACTGGAGGAAAATTATACAGTAGGCTGCCATTGTATTTGAATTGAGTGAATGAACAGAGTATGAGAAATTGAACTCACTCAAAAACTCTCAAAGGCAATAGAACTCCACTAAGAGACCAAAGGTCAGAGGTCAACATCAATGGATTGGACTTAATACTATTTCAACTTGATATTGAACACTGATATTCTAACTCCAAAATGAAAAGAACAGAATGAAATGTTTTATTTAAAAACATATCTTCAGTTTCATGTACAAAGTCAACAAATCTTCAGCATCAGAGGCGTGAGAAAGCTTGTAGGGAATCTGTCCTGCATTAAGGCTCATTATCATGTGAATAGACACACTTCTATTGTTGTGTGTGTGGGAAACTCTGGAGAACAGAGTCACAGTTCTAGTCTCATTAGCATCCTAAACCCCAACACAAGCTCAAGATTTGACAAACACACACTTATGGATATTTACATACATGCATGAGCTTGACCAGCTGGTTTGAGGATGTCATCAGCGGCGTGAACAGAATTCCAGCACTATCTCGGTTTATTTTCCTGAATGCATCGTGAACTTTTAACTGACTAAGCTTTTGCATGAGGCGCTTAAGATACTTTTGTCATCTAAACAAACATGTCACAAGTTTAACTAAAATGTAACTAAAAACTATTTGCTAAAGCAAATAAGAAGTGGTTTTACATATTCAATAATACATTTAATATACATATTTTTGCATGTCATTGCATAATAATAATAATTGTGATCAGAAGGTGATAACTTACTGACTCCTGCATCAAGTCAGGACATGTCTCTGTGCATCAGGACGTTTCCCTCCAGATGGTTGGTGACGTCAGGTTGAAGTCTTCAGTGTCACTAATGCTCCATTCAGGACTCTGGATGCTTTTGTGCTCCATTGATGTGAACACAGAGAGTCAGTGTGGGAACCTCACATGAGATCTACTCACACTGACCAGCACAAACACACACACATCTGCTTCATCTGTGCTTTAAACAAAGCAGTGTTTTAGTTTGCATTTCATAGTTTAATATCAAACTAAAATATTACAATATTTTATTTTATGTAAAACTGTATACAATATCCATTTAAGTCATGTCAAAACATAACAAAATTAATGAAAATAAGGTTAATCAATAAAAATCGAACTGTTCAAATATTTTGTTCTTTTTATTAAAACAACTGTTTTTTTAATACATATGCATTTTTTATGTGGATTTGCATGAAGATTAACATTTCAAGTCTTTTCACACAAGTGCAGATATTTAGTGTTATATTCAGCATTATCTTTGCTGCGATGACATCTCTCACACACGATGGGCTCCAGAGTAATTCAGATCACAAAGTGTAAGAATGCCATGACTTTGATGTCATGAGATGCTTCAGTTCACAGTGCTCACTGACTCCACGTGTTTCTAGTAATGACGAGCGTGTGCTGCTTCAGTGACATTGATGTGAACATGAGCTCTCTACAGGTCAACACTTTCCCAGATTCACCCTCCACCTGCTCCTTTGAGCCCCTGATGGAGGATCATTGAGCATGTGGCGGCCCACATCCCTCATTGTCTGTTTGAGCTCTTCCATTGGCTCCAAACTGTGAGAAACTCCAACAAGCTCAAGCCTCACACATTCATATGGAGATTTGGGAGTACATAAACACATTTCATTACACCAAATACACAAAATAATGTTCTTTTTAGCAGCATCATATGACCCCTTTAAAGCTGCAGTCCATAAGTTTTGCCTATTGTCGCCATCTCTGTTTGAAACATCGGAATTGCAGCTGTGTGCGGAATTATCTAGCTTGCGTGGGTTGTGTGGCGGCACGGCTCCAGCGCGGATGAATCTAATGTTCTGAAGAGTATGTGTGGCAGTCAGTCACCGCATTTACTGTTCGCAATCACAGATTCTAGCCTACGTCTTGGAATATGACCCAAATAAGCATTTTCACTAGATATTGCCATCTGAACAAGTAACAAGTCTGCCACGTTTGTTGGTCTGACCAACTGAGGAAAAAAGCATTACCATAGCTTAAATCTCGCTACCAATGGTGATTCAATCTAAAGATCGGTTAGCTCATATCACATCAAACCGTTCAAATTATTATTATTGTTATACTTTATTCTCAAATGATTAATGTTAACAACATCAGCATTGGTGACTATGAGTAGTGTGTATTAGCATGTAGATTTCAATTTCTGCACAGTCTAATTGTCATACTCTTCGAATTTCATTTTAAGAAATTCCTTGAACCCAAAAAGCTAAATATGCTCCCTTCGAACTGGTTTTCTTTCAAATACAAATCGTTGTAATCCCAGGCTATCTGTAATCAGAAGCACATTTCATAAACACATAATCCTTTATGGATTACAATCCGCCCTTGAAATGATACATTTAATTATTCTGGCTGCTGTGAGAAAAGGTTATAAACGATCAGCCACCTGCAGGATCCTCACATGCGATAGCCTAGTAGCCGGTACAACTTCTTTATGTTTACAGACGTGACGTAATGATGCAGTGCCATGCTCGAATTTCCCACGAAAACCTACCCGTACCACTCAAATTAGAAAACATTATTATAAGCTAACCGTTGTGAATCGGGCTAAAGTAAGGCGATAGTTTTGAACACTGGCTGGTTATTTACTTGCTCAAATAGTGATTTCGGATCATTTTTAACCCAAAAAGTTACGGACTTGCAGCTTTAAATAAAATCTCAGTAGGTTATGGCATGTGTTTGTGTATGACATTGATGTGAACATGAGCTCTCTACAGGTCAGCACTTTCCCAGATTCACCCTCCAGCTGCTCCTTTGAGCCCCTGATGGAGGATCATTGAGCATGTGGCGGCCCACATCCCTCATTGTCTGTTTGAGCTCTTCCATTGGCTCCAAATTGTGAGAAATTCCAACAAGCTCAAGCCTCACACATTCATATGGAGATTTGGGAGTATAAATAGAGGAGCTGCAGTCAGTGCAAATCAGACTCACTCTGAACAGAGAGATCTACAGCACAGCGATCCAGACATGACACCTACAATCATCTCAAAGGAGCAGCTCCCTCTCAACAACAAGGTACATTCATATCCTACTTACAGCAGCATTACTGCAGCAGCTTTCACTGCTCTTCTAAATCATTGGCTTATTTGAAGGACACTTTCCTGATGATTTTCTGTCTTCATTTGCAGCTGAGAAAGCCAAGGGTGGAGAAGATGCGCAGAGATCGTATCAACAGCAGCATCGAGCAGCTCAAGTGTCTTCTGGCTCCAGAGTTCCTCAAGCAGCAGCCTGATACCAAGCTGGAGAAAGCAGATATTCTGGAGATGACGCTCAACGTCCTGCAACACCAGTTCACATGCTGTCAATCAAGGCTTCTCCAGGTGTGTCCGTGAGATTGTGCACTTCCTGTCCAAAGATGAGATGAAGACAGAGAGCCAGAGAAGACTGCTGAAGCACTTCCAGAAGCTGCAGACTTCATGTGAGCAGAACAGGAGGGAAAGTGTCCTGCCAGACCAGAACACCTTCAGCAAAGAGATGAATGTCAACAAGAGCTCCATCTGGAGGCCTTGGTGGAGCCTTACAGCAACCAGCAGCACATGCTGAATATCTACTGTATATTAGACTCAGTGGACTATTATGCTTTCAGTTTCTCTTTTTGAGAAAAAAAAGTGTTTCATGAGTTCCAGTTTGGAAGAGATATTTATACTGCTAAGTGCTCTGATGATTCGATCTTAAGACTTCATGTCAAGAGTTCCAGATGGGAACATTTACTTATACAAGACTTTTACATTAGATATACTTGCATGTCATTAAAAAAAAAAAATTGTTATTGTTATAAAGATCATTTAGACACCTCATATAGACTTTACCACAAAAAATTAAGTAGAACTACATGTTTTGATGTTGTTGTTTTCACTTTTGGGAGTACTTGTTCTTTTTTGTCTTCAGTAAAGACTTTATCAAGACCATGAACACATGAGACAGTAATAATAATGTTTAGATTAATACCACAAAAATGAAGTTAAACTACATATGTTTTTTTGTTGTTGTTGTTTTTCATTTTTGGAGGTACATGTTCTTTTTTGTCTTCAGTGAAGACTTTATCAAGACCATGGGCACATGAAAGTAATAATAATTTTTAGATTAATACGATTTAATCAGAATTATCTTTGATAAAAATACAATTTAAAAAGTATTCTTAATAGTTAATATTCTTAAGTTAATAATTTTTTTTATTTTGTCTTTAGATTAAAAGGGTACAATAATAATTTTCAGCTTGGAAAAATATTTATGCTATTAAGTATTTTTTTATTTTGACTTCGATGAAGCCACAAGCCGTAATATGATGCAATATGTTCTGAAATGTCTTATATAAAGATATTTAGTCATTTTTTGAACCATGTTCTTTTCTAAGTTCCTGTGTGATCCAGAGATTCTTTCAAAACAAAAGTTGTGATACATTATCACTGATAAATGTTGATATCAGTCATGAAAATAAAATGAAAATGTCACTACATCTCCTGTGTTTTAAGACCATGTAAACTGAACCTAAACTGACAAAAAAAAAATACTGAAAGCATTCATAAAATATGCATTTAAATACAGTATTATTAACCAGATTCTAAAAAAGTCACAAAATAGCTGTTTGAATCATTTCCCACTTTTTTTGGAAATTATGCAAACAAATAATTTCCATTAAAAGATAAAAGAATCATTTCCATTTTCAAGACATACAGTCATATGTACAATGTTAACACAGTAAGAACTACAGTAGTACAGGAAAGAAAATGATGTAAGTCCAAATGATGATGACGGCATGTTTCACTGTCAACTTTAAATCATGTTAAAATTGTGAAAAGAAAAACAAAAGGGATCAACATATAGGCTGTGTCTCAAAATCTAAAAACAGACAGCTTTTCTGGGCATTCGATTAGATCAGGAAAGTGCCTGTGATGCCTAGAAAAGCTGTATAGGTAGGCCTCTTCAAACATGAAATGGCGTCGGAAGAAAATTAGAAATATATTAATAGTAAACAACCATTTTTGGTCTATTCTAAGTTGAATTGGAATCGATACTGTCTGCAGGACACTGATCTGTACCTGCATACCCAGGTGAAAAAGACGTAGTATTAAATGTATTAAAAAATTGCATTGTAATTTTTATTTATTCACTGATGTAAAATTCTGTACTTTTTTAGTAAGGCCGGTATAACTGAAATGTTCTACAAATGGAAAAGATAGCTCTGCCATAGCTTTTCAGTCTTTTTTTATTTATGTTTTTTTATAATGTATTAAAATGTACTTGAGTATGTTTGTAGTAATACAAATATACTATAAACATACTTGTATTTCAAGTGCATTTTTAATACATTTAATAGTTTTTGTTTTTCACCAAAGTACATATGCTGCTGTCCTTTTTTTAGTGTACTTTGTGAATATTTGTAATGTACACAACAATATATAATACATTAAAGTTTTCTAGATATCAAAGTGTGTACGTGTGTGTATACTGAAAAAAGCAGCTTTATAATATACTAGTAGTGTAATGCTAATGCATTTCCAATGAGCTGAAATACAATTGAAATGTACTTGAAGTACATTAAAACGATGCTTCAAATATACTCTAACTGTAGTTCATGAAGTATTAAAAGGACATTTTAAATGTATTTTAAGAAATACACTTAAATTGCACTAAATATACTTAAAGTGGTTCCATTTTAACACAATTTCAATATATTAAATATATTACAAATAGATTAAAATCCAACTTAAACATATCTTGAAATACACTTAATATACTTAAAGTTGTTTCAAAATAATACATTTAATACGCACTTAGTATAGTATAATTTAAATATAGTAAGTATGTCTGAAAAAGCACAATTTAAATTTATTTCTTTTTCACCTGGGTAGCTTCTGAAGTGCTTTTCAACTCAGCGGTATGTGCGTCCCTGAGTGTTCACTACAAAAATAACTTTTAATGATTATTTACAGGCTGCAAAATCATAATGTTGCTTTTCAAATTCTTTCATCCAAAGCATCTTTCACTGACTTACAGTACAAAGTAAAGTTACACAGCTGGATTGTGAAATGTGTAACCTTCCGATTAGTGCTGCACCTTCTCTTGAGATCAACCCAGCAACTTTTAAGTTTGCAGCTGAGATCTTTAACCTTCAACCAACCACAAAGCCACATATCATAGATATATAAAGTCCAGTTTTAGGAGAGTTTTTTGGTGCTGTTGATTCCTACATTCTGTTGTGCAATGATAAAGTCCATGATGAGCTGGGCGGATTTCCTCGGTCGCTCCATCACTACTGAATGACCACAGTTGTCTAGCAGATGAACCTGAGATCCTGGAATAGCCTTTGCCAGAACTGAAGCCCCGGACACATCTAATACCTGTAGGATACAATATACAGAAATTGACCTTTGTTGATGTCACGTTTCGAATGTATAAGCATTTTTTAAAATGGCTGATTCCTACATATGTGATTACAATCTTGCAAAGAAGAAAAAAGACTTACAATTACTAACTCTGAAACACTGAATTATTTCAACACAGTCACAGTAAATTTAGAATTTAAATAGGTAATGGAAATAGATAAATGTGAAAATTCTGGTTCTGCTTCGTAATGCATCATACATAATTACTTCTTCCATCTTTATTTGACCCTCTAACTAGCGTTCCCTATTATTTTTCTGTTCTATCTACTGGTTTCTATATATATATATATATATATATATATACTGTATATATAGTGCCCTCCATATTGGGACTGTAAAGACACAATTGCTCTGTTAGCTGTGGAGTTAAGACATCTGTAAATATGAATAAAAGGTAAACATGAGACAAAACTACAGAATGTCACATTCTCTCGGGTTATTAGTATATATATATGTATATATACAGTGCCCTCCATAAGTACTGTTTGCTGTGGAGTCAAGACATTTGCAAATATGATTAAAAGATGAATATGAGATAAAACTACAAATTGTCACATTTTATTATTGGGTGATTCAACACATAGATGTTTTACCAGCTAAGAAGATCAGCACTTCTAGAGTTTCATCCCCTATCTGGTGTGAGCATAAGTATTGGAACAGTTGGCTCACAGGTCTTTCTAAGTGATCAGCTATGTCCTGTTGCATTAATTGTTCAAATATTGAAGCAGGGAATGTGTCGTATCAGTTATATCCATTTTTCTGCATTCTGAGTCTTGCATTCAATGACGACACACACAAACCAGGGTGAAGACGAGGGAGCTGACTTTGAGAGAAAAGCAAGCAATTTGGATGCTAAAAGAAAAAAGGGAAGTCAATTACAGTTATAGCAAAAACAAAGGCCATGGAGAAATCAAGAGTTTGGAATGTCCTGAGAAAGAAAGAAACCACCGGCAATGTGAGCAACCAACAATGAACTGATCGGCTCAGAAAAACAAACAGCAGTTTTGAAAAGCTTTGAAAATGAACCCTAAAATACGTGTCTGTAAAATCACCAACAACCTCCAGAAAGCTGGGGTGATGCTCTGACAATCTACTGTCCGCAGGAGACTTTGACGCAGAATTACAGCAAGACAGCAGGATGCTGACCAGCACCAAAATAGAAAAGCAAGATTAGAGTTTGCTAAAAAGCACAAAGGTGAGCAAGTTGAGTTTTGGACAGAGTTTGGAGTTTTATGGACAGATGAGACAAAGATGAACCTTTATCTAAGTGATGGGAAAGCAAAAATGTGGAGAAAAAAGAACTGCAAATGATCCCAAGCATACAACCTCATCTGTAAAGCATGGTGGAGGTAATGTCATGGCATGGGCATGCATAACTGTCTCTGGAACAGGCTCTCTCAGCTTTTTTTGATGACTTAATGTATGATGACAGTAGCAGAATGAATGCAGAAGTGTACAGAAACATTTTGGCAACCAATGTTCAAGAAAATGCAACCAGCCTCAT